TTGCACATGGAGAAGAGATGAAAGGACCTTCAGAAAAAGGAAGCAGCATTTGTAAAGGCTTGCCACAGTGAAATATCCAGGCATGCACAGAGAATGACAGCCATGTGCATGGCTTCCTCTGATGCTCTGTGGGTTGGCAGGTGGGTAAGGGGCAGTGAGGATGCCAAGGACATGAGCCTGGAAGGCAGGTTGTAACCAGTCAATGAAGGGATTTGTATGCCTTGCTATAGAGTTCCAACATTCCCAGTGGACACTGGGAAACAATGGTAATAAGATAACCAGATTTTTTAAAATGCATTTTCTTTTTTTAGGATCATCACTCTTGTTACTGTAAGTTAAGTGGAAGAAAAAAAGATTGGAAGGAAATCAGAGAAAACAGTGAAGAGACTATTGTAGGAAATCATGGAGACCTGAGATACTGCAGGGGAGGAGTCAGTGGGCAGCAGGGGAAATTGGGACAATTACTAAGCAGGATGGTGGTGCTGGGTGAGGTAGAAGGAAGACCAAAGGTGACTCCTGGGATTCTAGACTAAAAAGTAGTACACATATGCCACTGCCTGAAAGGGGACCTTGGGAGGAAGACATTTGCAGGGGGAGATAGATAATGGCTTATTTTTATCCACACTGAATTGGCTAAGCTAAAAAGCAAAGAACCTATAAAGGTGTATATTCAGAGATTAGAAGCTCACACAGAGCCTGTGTAAAGGAGCGATTTTGTTCGAATACATTACCAGATAGGAATGCCTGTTGGAAGAGTTCTAGACCCTACTGGAGAAAAAAGGATTATGCCATACTTACCTCTGTCTTTAGGCCATCTGAGTACTAATCCAGTTCCTTAATCAATGACAACGTTTTTATTATAAAGCTTTACACATCAGAGAAGAAAGAGTGCCTGGAATTAAATCTTTTGCTTTTAGCTTAATGATCTGTCCGTGAAATCATAGTGTTGAAAACTCTAACACCTATTCATCACCATTTGCAAGACTTAACTTCTGGCCCTTTTCTACCCACCACCATTACCACTTTTACTTTCCTTGTAAGAAGCAAAAAGCAACAAGGCCTGCCGCACTCTTGGATCCCTGAACAGGGTGTCAACTAGTTGTCTAGTGATTTAGGATGCATGAACCAAACCCAAGTTCATGCCCCATCTGTTCATTCATCTATGTGTGCATCTAACAGATTGATAAGTCCAGATATAGAGAAGAAACTATGCGTTCCATCAAGAGATGAGTGGGAGACACAGAACCATTAGGATTCGATAATTCACATTCTGATGTATACTCTCAGTTTCCCCCTGCTCACTGCTCTGCTGGCCACATTCTCAGTGAACACCAAGTCTCAAGTCTTTTCCAGTCAGAGCACCTTGGTCAAAAGTATGTGGAAAAAGTCTGGGCTAGGGCCTGGGGCTACCTGGAATCTAGTCCTCTAAGGTAATCATTTGCTTTCAGTCCCCAGACAGGTCATCTCTCTGAGTTTCAGAGTCCTCATCTATAGAATGAGAGGTGAGGCCAGACAGTTCCTGGAGGTTCTTATGACCATGACAATCTGAATACCTATGATCCTTCTCAAGTCTGAGCTGGTATCTGGAGACCCCTCTGGAGTGAGTGATGGGATCCAGAACTAGGACACTGAAGTCCCTATGAGCTGGGCCCATGAGAGAGATTTATGAACATGCTGGGCATGTACACCGGGGGTCACAAAGCACTTTCATACTCATTATCTGTTCATATCTTTATGAAAACCTGGTGAAGTAATTATCACTTTATTCCTTCCATCGTTATATGAGGAAAATGAAGCTCAGAGAGTTAAATGGCTAATTATCAGTTTTTCTCATTTAATTCAGATAGCAATACTATAATATAACTTTTCCTAAATCCTTTCCTTCTCTTCCTGATCATCTTCTTCCTCCCCCTCCTGTCCATTTTACAGATAAAGAATCTGAGGGTCATGGATTGAAACAGCTTTCAACCTATTAGTGAGCAGAAGAGCTCAGATTCAACCCCAAATATGCTTAAATCTAAACTCCACTCACAACCTTGGCCAGAATTCTATGTGAGAGAGTAGGGAGGCAACTGGCTGGTGGCACTTCTATCTTAAGTGCCAGCAAGGACTGGAGGGTGACAAAGACAAGTGAAATAACTGAGGTAGAAGGGTCCCTTTAATGTCACCAAAGAAAAATAAGAATGAAAGTGAAATAATGCAAGGAAACCTGCCTTTTGAATTGCATATTATAGAGATAGTAAAGAATGGTGGTGCATTGCAGAGGGACACGCACATGCCCTCCTCAGTGGACAGCCTTTAATCAAATTGAGGGAATGTAGGCTCACCTATGTAAGAGCTTTTGATTTTAGAAGAAAACCTGGATGTCTGGAATCTTAACTAAAATTCCTCTATTTCTAAACACTGGTGATTAATTATTATGTAGGCAAAACCTAAAGAGAAATCCATCTTGACTGCATGGGGCCCACAGGATGTCAGCATCGCTTCTGCCCTGTGCTGTGCTGTGGTTAAGCATTCCACAGCATTAGCTGCCTAGGGCTGCCCTCAGAGGTTCTCAGTGGCATCAGCTGAGCACTTCTGTGCAGAACTCAGTTTGTTCAGCTCAGAGCTGGGGTGTTGTAGGCACCCACCAACTCAGCTGTGTCTGTTGCTTGTGACCAGCATTTACTCTGAGTGGATATTGGATTTGTTTTTTAAGAAGACTGGGTCTCATCTCTTGCCTGGGCTAGAGTGCAGTGGTGTCACCATAGCTAATTGCCAGCTCCAACTCCTGACTTCAAGCAATCCTCCTACTTCAGCCTCCAAATAGCTGGGACTACAGGTGTGCACAACATCCAACTAATTTTTAAGTTTTTTGTAGAGTTGGGGGTCTCATTATTTTGTTCAGACTGATCTGAAACACCTGGCATCAAGTGATCCTCCAGCCTTGGCCTCCCAAGTGCTAGTATTATAGGGGTGAGCTGCTATGCCAGGCTAGTGATACTTTGAACATCACTCCTGGATGGATGGTTTTGTAAAGAATAACTGCCTTAATCCCGACAACAATCAGCAAAGAGGACTTAATTATCTCCATTTTTAGAAGATTGAATTAATACTCAGTTTGGTTATAAAGATTACATAGTAGTCTGTAGAGACAGCCTGGGACGTTGGGCTTGGCTTTGTGTTTTCATCATCCTATAGAGTTGCCTCTATCTCTGGGGTAATTTCCATTGTTTCAAGTTAGAAAATTATCCTCTTTTATATCTATTTGGCAAGAATCTGAGGCAAAGAGGAAAGGAGAGAATAGAGTCATCTTTCAGAAGAGAAGGTACCTTTGCTACATGTCCTCATCCCCACCATGAGGTTTTCTAGGGATGGAGAAGAAACTTATGAGGTACAGAAGGAAGAAGAAAGCAACACTCTGATCCTTCACAGTCCAGAAGCTTAGATGCCGAGGCAAGGCACGCCCACACCCTGTAGGTGACTGCACAGGTAGGCATATAGGGAGGCAACCAGCTGCTGGAATGCCACCCTGGGTGACAAGCCAGGCAGATGCCAGCCAGCTGTCTCATGGCCTAAGCCAGACCCAGAGCCCTTTATAAAAAGACGTCCCTCTGCCTAAATGCTCCAGCCTGAACGACTGCTTGCCTGTGAGGAGGGTGAGTCTAGGAGCTGGGTCCTGGGATTAGGGTGGGATGATGTTCCCTCTAGATTCACGGGGGAGAGCCACAGTGAGGGAGGAGCTGGGAGCAGAGAAAAGGTGTTATGTCAGCCTAAGGAGAAAAGTTGGTGAAATGTTAGAGGGCAGAAGAAGAGTAGTTGTGGAGTGTATGAGCAGAGCTGGGGCTGTGAAGTTAGCATATATGCATTTGATAACCATGGCCTCATATGCAGCTATCATTGTCCTTGTCAGAACCTGTCCTTTCTGGAAGACATATTAGTGATTTTTCACCCTCTGAGAAGAGTAATATGTATTTAGACATTCACTTTAAATGGAAAATAGAAGGATTTATCCTTCCTTAGAAGCATTTTGGAACTTATCGAGAGGAGTTTGTGGGACAAGTTCATTATGAAACCATCCCCTTGCTCTGCTGGCCACTGTGCTGCCTGTTTGAACAGGTGGAACTGGGGAGGGCAGAGGTGCAGGCTGCCATTTCTCCTTGGCTAAGTGTGGTCTGGCATGTAGGCCTGCTTCTCAGATCATGTCTGTGATGCTCTTGCTGCACAGATCTCAAGCGCGGTGGAATCTTGTTGCTTAGAATCCCATACTGTCCAGGTTACCCTACCTTAGGTAACTCCATCTTGCCTCCAAGAGGCCTGGAGAAAAACATTTGGGAAGCCCGTAGGTGGTGACCGTTCAGGTGATTGACAGAGCAACCTGCCTAGGCAAGTTGTCCTGAGTCTTTTCCAGGCTGATGTGTTCCGTATGTGAACAGTTTGCATCCATATGCGTTTAAATGAATTAATCTAAAAAAGATTGAATACGTAGAAAAATATTTGATGTTGGATTGAGCTGCCCAAACACTGCCATTATGTGTGCAGATAGTGCCTGAGTGCCTCACAGGTACACACTCACATACTGGCAAAGACACATGTGCTGCCAGGGCATGCATGTGAGGAAATCCAAACTTCTATGGGAGTAGAGTCCCCACTTTGGGGCTGCAGCCTTGGGAGCAATATGTCACCTCTACTTCCTGAAGATCTGTTTTCACCATGTAAGATGTGAGACAGTGTGGAGAATCCTCTTGTCACCAGCACCTACTGGCTGTGGACTCTGGTTTCTCCACTCTCCAGGGACACCTGCAACCATAGCTATGCAGAGTGAGGCCCTTTGGCAGCACCAGGGCTGGTCTCCCGGGCTAATCCCGGGTCCAGCTAAGCCAGTAAGAATTCTGGGTAAAGGTGGAGGGTGGGAGGAAAGGCAGAGGGACACAGGTGTTCTGGCCCACCTCCCTAGCTCTCACCCTCCTGACTCTGGCCTCTCCACCCTCAGGTCCTACTCTCCTGCCAGCATCAGGACCATGTGCGACCAGCAGCAGATTCAGTATTGCCTGCCACTCCCACAGGGCTGTGTCAAGGGTTCCTCCTTCTGCACCTCTCACAGTCCCTTTGCCAACACCCAGGTGGTGGTTCAAGCCCCTTATGAGATGCAGATTGTAGGGTGCCCTCCACCATGCCTGGGTCAAGATGCCCAGGCTCCAAGTCAGCCCCAGACTTCCCAGGTGAAGGGCCAATCTAAAACCAAGCAGGGGAAGGGCCAGGCTCCAAGCCAGCCCCAGACCAACCAGGTGAAGGGCCAGGCTTCCGGCCAGTCTCAAGTTTCCTGTGTTCAATGCTCTGCTCCTGAACAGTCTGAAGTTACCTACCGGCAGTACGAAGCCCCACAGCCTGCTGAGACTTACTTTGTAGAGTGCTCCCCGGGTTGTTACACAGAAACCTATTACGTGGAATGCCCAGGCCAGATCTATGTACCCTGTTCAGTGCCTCAGTCTGTCCAGACATATGTGGAATGTCCCCTCGTGTGCCAGCCTCAGGGAGGATTCTCCGCCCAGCGCTCCTATCAAGGTTCCTATGGCAGATGTGCTCCCCAGTTGGCGCCAGGGGCTTCCTACAGCAGTTGTGCTCCTCAATTCCAGACACGGGCTTCTTACGGCAACTGTGCCCCTCAGCGACAGTCCCGGGCTCCATTTCGCACTTGTGCCCCCCAGTACCAAACCCAGGGCTCCTACCGGAGCTTCTCTGCAGAGCGCCAGTCTTGGAGAGCCAGCAGGTGCGTCCCTTTGGTGCCCCGCAGCTGCTCCCCACCACGCGGCCAATGGGAGGCCTGCTATGGCAGAGGCCGGCCCCCGAGCATCTCTGCAGGGTGCCCTAACTACTGCACCCCACCCCGCCGCTCTGAACCCATCTATGCCAGTCACTGTCCTCGGGCCCCCGCTTCAGACTGCTCTCAGAGAGGTAGACCCAAGTACCGAATAGAGATCTCCTCCCCCTGCTGCCCCCGGCAGGTCCCCCCACAGAGATGTCGTGTTCAGATTCCTCCCATCCGAGGCCGCTCCCAGAGCTGTGCCCCACAGCCCTCCTTGGGTGCCTCCTGTCCGGAGCTGAGGCCTCGCATAGAGCCACGTCCACTCCCAAGCTTCTGTCCACCACAGTGTCTAGACCAATGTCCAGAGCCATCACTGCAGAGATGTCCTGCCCCACGTCCACGTCCACGACCAGAGTGCACAAGTCCAGAACCTTACCTGCGCCCTCTACCCCGGAGACTTTCAGAACCTTGTTTGTGTCCAGAACCACGTTCAGCCCCACGTCCAGCGCCACGTCCTCACCCAGTGCCACGGCCTCGCCCAGTGCCATGTGAGATTCCAGAGCCACGGCCATTCCCGCAGGCCTGTGAGGGCCCAGAGCCTCATCCAAGGCCAGAGCCAATTCCCTTGCCAGCACCCTGCCGGAGCCCAGAGCCGTGTGGGGAACCTCATCACTGGCCCAGCCCATGCTCTAGCCCAAATCCAATTCCATGCCCAGGAGACCCAGGCTGTCATGAGTCCAGTCCACACCGCCTGGACACAGAGGCTCCCAGCTGGGGGCCACCCAGTTATAACCAGGGACAAGGGAGTGGAGGTGGCTGTGGACCTGGTGGTTTGTTTCCAGAGCCACAGCATCGGGGTGGTTGTGGAGACCAAGGCAACACCTGTGTGGGGGAAAAGGGTGCCTACTTTTAAAGAGAATGTGGCTAGGATGCCCCTGCCTCCTGTTCTGCAAATGCTGCTCCTCCTGTGCCAGTGGCCACAATTGCCAATTCATCCTGTTTACATTTCTCCAAGGACTTTCAGAGCCTCCCTGCCCCAGAGGTGATTTCTTAACTCCTTGCATTTCCTCTCAGGATCCACTCCTGGGTCTCACAGACCTCTACAGCTTCAAACCTGACTCCTCCCCTGTACCTGTTCCCAGTGCTTGTCAGACCAGTCTGGCCACCAAGGCACATCTTGGGTGTTCCCCAGGATAGACCTTAGGTGTCCCACTTCCAAGCTTCTGCTCGGTCTTCCCCCTCTGCCTGGACCACTTCTCTCCCACTCCCCAGCACCTGGAACCTCACCTGTCTTTCAACGCCTCTTCTTTGGAGCCAGTTTTGCTTGTTCCCACCCAGGGGTGCCTAAGCTGACTTCCCAGAGTCACCGCACCCTCTACACTGTCCACTTGGCACCAGCCTTACAACGTCTCTTAACTTATTTCATTTTAGGTGTGTCTGCCTTACCTGCCCACTAAATCGTGAACTCCCATCCGAGTGGAGTAAGAATATCCCTCAATCTCAGTGCTTATCCTGGGAAGGCAGCTTCTTAGCACAGCCTGTGGGTTCATAGCTTGAGTCACATTCTGTCCTGAAAGGCAACTGCAGGAATTGAGAAAAGAGGTGTCCTCATGACAATAAAGATCACAATGCACTCACAGCCCGAGTCTGGAGTCATGCCTGCCTTTGGTTCATCCCTGACTTGCTGACTGAGCTTTTTTTCTTTTTTAAATTGGGCTAAAATGCTTATACCAGAAAATTTACTGCCTTAACCATTCTTCAGTGAACAGGTCAGTGACATTAAGTACATTCACATTGTTGTGCTACCATCACCACCCTTCATCCACAGAATTAAAACTCTGTACTCATTAAATAATAACTTCTCATTTCCATACCCCCAGGCCCAGACAACCACCAACAGAACTACTTTATGTCCTTATGAATCTGACTATCCTCAGTAACTCATATACAAGTAAGGGGAACCACCCTGTCCTCTTGTGTCCACTTAGCATAATATCCTCGAGGTTCATCCACATGCGTGGTGGCATGTGCCATAATTTCCTTCCTTGTTCTGTTTATTTCTTCATCAATGGACAGATAGTAAATTGTGCTGCAATGAGGAGTGTACAAATACCCCCTTGAGTCTCCGATTTCAGTTCTTTTAGATAGATATCCAGAAGTTGGATTGCAAGATCATATGATAATTTTATTTTTAAACTTTTAAGGAAATACAGTACTGTCTTCCATAGCAACTGGAACATTTTACATCCCTACCAACAGTGCACAAGTCCAAATTTCTCCACATCCTTGACAATATTTGCTATTTTCTGTTTGTTGTTTTGTTCTGTTTTGGAGATTATCATTTTAATGGGTGGGAAGTTTTATGAATTTTCATTTTGATTTATTACTTTTCTTTTTGTGTTCATTGTGTCTGTGGTCTGATATTTCTTTAGCCTAGACTGTGGACTTTCTGTCTCACCTCAGTGTCCCTGGCTCCTGCAGGAAAAGATGGAGGAAAGGTGACGGAAATGAGGGAACGGGAGGCGGGGGGACAGCTCTGCTCCCTAGCCTAGGAGTAGAGGTCTTCAGGCCTGGATTTGGTCACCCAGCTTTAGGGCCATAGTCCTAGAGTTCCAGCTGTGCCACCCCTGGAACCAGGGAAAGGGGTGAAGGGAGCACCTGGAGGTTGTCTGGGGATACTGAATAATATAAGTATATGCTCTTCTTTCAGAGTTAAATTATTTGTTTTTCTTTTCTTTTCTTTTTTCTCCTCCCTCCTTCCCTGCTTTCTTTTTCTTTCTTCAATAGTGAAGGAAGCATCTGCGCCTAACCCTGGCTTCCTCAGTTGTTCCCAAACTTCCTTAGGCATGGGTTGTCTTGACAGCATGCAGGTGGGGGTAGAGGGGGAGGAGGGTCAGAAGAACTTCTTGCTCCCCATTACATAGGACGTAAGTGACCTGCCAAAGCCTCCCAGGCCACACTCCTGTCCACCGCACATGGTGCTTTGGGGCTCACTCACGGACTCTGTCTCTGCCTCTTCTAGAGATCTTTCCTGGATTTGCCCAGTTATTTCTCAGCACAGTCTTGGAGTTCTCCCAATCACTGAGCAGGTTCTTTGCATCATTTCCACATTTGTCTCTTCTCTTGAGATCCAGGCTTCTCTAAGATTGTCTCTGCTCTGTGGCAGGACCTGGGTTGGCTGCACAGAGCATCCTTCAGTTTCCATTACTAGGCCCCTGGTGGGAAAACGTTTGGAAGACCCAAATGGGGCATGGATGCTTGTTAGACGTCTTTCCCCCATTCTCTCAAACACAATGCTGGACAGGGACCCTCTTAGGATTATAGGGGCAGACCATCCAGTCCAGATATAGAAGGAACACAGAATTGGCTATGAGAAAATGGCATTTACTTTCTGAGAAGCCCCAACTTTCCCTGGGAAACAGGTCCCACACACAGGCTTTCCTTGGATGAGTAATGCTCCATGCTCTGCAGTGTGCTCTGGCAATAGACTCTAGATCCCAGGATGACATCCAATCCAGATATCTGCCTGGATATGAAATGGATGGAATGATGGTCGAATAGAAGGGTGTCTGGGTGAGGCAGACAGAGCTGAACCTGAAGGGCCCCATGGCCTGGTTTTTCCTGGCACCCAGGGCTGCACAGTGTCTGGACAGCCAGAGACAAGCACTCAGAGAAAAGGACACACAGGAGTGTGTGTCCATGTTATGCTTATTTCTTTATTTCTTTGTGTGGACCTATGTGTCTGTGTATAGCTCTGGGGTGGCGGCTGCTGCCTGAGCCACCACAGGCATCACTGTGGGTCCCACTGCTGCAACCCCCAGAGCTCCGACTGCTACAGTCAGCCCTCGGGGGCTCCAGCTGCTGTGGAGGGGGCAGCGGCCAGCACTCTGGGGGCTGCTGCTGATGTGGACACTGAACCAAGAAGAGCAGAGTTGGAGGCATGAAAGGGGCAGTTTCGTTGTCCCTGGGCCTAGCTGTGCAGCTGAGTCATTTTAATGAAGACCTCACACTCTGGTCTTAGAAGAAGATATCCCTGAACTGGAATCCAGAAATCTGTGTCCTCTCATAAAAGCTCATCTTCTGACCTCTGACCCCACCTCTGCAGCTGCCCTCAGAACACCAGATAGTTCTTATGCCGTTCCCCAGGTCCCCAGATTTCCTCGGCCATGTCCTCCATGAATGAAACAATAAAACAGATAACAAATAGCCTGCTCACCATCTCATTCTCTATCACATTTCTATCGCTCGTAAATGTGAAAAAGGATGAGTACGTCCAGTCTCAGCTTCATCCTCTGCTTGGCGACTGGGGCAGCGTCACTCACTTTCAAGTCTCCCAGCGTCTCTGTGAGCACCTGCTTCCATTCCTGGACCTTACTAGAACTAATGGCAGTGCCTCAGTGTCACCGGAGTCAGGTTCGGGCACACGAATTATATTTACTTCCGCAGACAGAAGTTTAGGTAAAGAATAGCTGATTTGGCTCTGGAGAACTGAAGACTCATGAGAACTAAGTGTTCCTGGAGACCGTAGCTTGAACTACTGCCCTGGAGATGGGAGGGAGGGCACACTGGAATTGCTAAAGGCAGAAACTTGCAGGAGGGGCTCTATGAACTGAAGTGCAGGCTTCTATGATGGGGTGCTTCCACTGGTGCCGGGAACAGAAGTGCAAGGCTTAAATGATAGGGGTGCTTCTCACCGGTGTGAGGACCACTGAGCTTGGTAGGGTTCCTGTGTGCCTGGAACCTGGGCTTCCAGGAAGAGGGTGCTGGCTGGTTTCAGTCTCAGGATCTCTAAGAGGGCCCAGCACAGCAGGTTCTGTGTGAGTGGGAAAACCCACACAGTGGAGCCAGCTGTTGTTACGGGAGCAAATTGCTTCTGCTGGGATGAGAGAAATAAGTGTGCGTGACTTGGAGAAATCCGAGGAAGCAGGTAGGAGGGGACATGGCCTCCTCTCTTTGCCAGTCTCCAGGCCTCTGCAGCTCCTGCTGGCAAAGGGGAAATGTGGTTTGCAATCCCAGCCCTAATATCTCACGGCCAGATATGGAACAGAGGGTCCTTAATTGAAGAGCATGACCTCGTTATATAAGTATAAATAGTTGACAGTTTCTGATTCATTGATCCCAAGTTTCATCTTTCTTTAATACAGACGTTTACGAGAAAGAGCCTGAGTTACAGTTGCCTTATGTCTAAAAACTCAGCAAAGTTAAGGTCACCCCTGAGGTCTCACTGGCTTGGTCTGATCAAGGACTATTCAGGCCTAGTCTTCATTTCAATTTAACAGGACCCTCCTGCCCACACATGGGCAATTCTCCACAATTCTCCTCCAATTTGAGACCAGGATCTCAACCCAGTAGGAGAGGGCCCCGAACGTCCTCTCTGAGCATCCTCATTCCCAAGCCCACTTCAGACTGCAGGCCCGTAGTGGGAGAGCATCACCATCCTGGGCTGTCTCCTTGGCTACCTCGTGGCTCCTGTGAGCTCACTCCCTGCAGAAAGTCTCTCAGTCTGCATCGTGCTGTGTTCTGATGAATGGGTAATAGGGCAAGAGCAACAGTCAGTGGCCAAGCAACATGTCAGGCACTGTTCAGCACATTCTCACATCATGTACTTTCATCCTTAGAATTTCTATGAGGCTGGTCCATTTCTAGGCCCATTTTACAAAATCAGAAATGGAGGTCCAGAGAGGTCAGGTGCCTCTGCCAAGATTCTCAGTACAGTCAGTGTGTGCCGGCCCATCCTCTGCCCTGCCCACAGAAGCCTGGGCAGACAACCAGACAGGGGTGCCTGGGTGGTGGTTGTTGGGGCTCACGTTGGCTCTCCCAAGGAAGGACAAGCTCTGCTCTGTTCAGGACTAGATGGCCCCACCACAGTCCTTCAAGAAGTCTTCTTCTTTTTCCAGCTTCCCAGAAACTCAG